GGCAGGGGATGGATGGACACTGTCTTCTTCACTGGAAAAAGTATCCAAAGCGCTGCCTTGGGAAACACAGGCCCTTTGTGTGCAACAACAACGCCCCATTCTTCGGGGCATCGTTTTGTTAAACTTTTGTGCCCGGGCTGGGCGAGAGTCTCGCCTGGCGGAGGAAAACCGGCACTGATAAGAAGAACAGCGAGCTTGTGAAAGGAGCTGTCTTGTCTGGGAGCCAGCCCAGGGACGAGCGTGAAAACGGAGGCTCCCGGCACCGCAGTGACTCGCGAGGTTGCCTGTCACGGGGTTGGGAACGGAGGCCAGGAGCCGTTTGCAGGTCTCGTGTTATCAGGCCGGTTGCAGGTTTTCGTGTCAGCGGCTCGCTTTAGCCGCCGGCACTTTCCACTAGTGCGTCTCCATGTCTGCCTGGGCGGTGGACCCGGCTCAGGGTGGGCTGCGGCAAGACCAGGGGTCGCAGGTCGTGTGAGCTGAGGTGTTTGTCTGGGGGGCTGGGGTCAGGGGCTGGTGCCCGTTCCCTGGCCGGAGGAGCAGTGTTACAGGCGCCGTGCCGAGAGTCAGCATCTGCACATCTGGGAGCGCCGGGGTGGGCGAGACCCCGTGCGGGCGATCAGCAATAGCGCGCGGCTCTGCCCCTGGCAGCAGTCTGACGGCGCTGAACTAACTCCTATTACAGTCATTCCTAATCCCTGTTCCTATTACACCATTTCCAGCTGGCCATCTGACCAGTCACCCCGCGCTGGGCTGGAACGGGGCAGACAAGGGGGTCCCGAGAGATCACGGGCACGAGCGAGTGCAGCAGCATTGAGCTCGGGCCCCATCACACCCAGGTGCTCTGCCTGTCCTGCACACTTGCTGTCCATGCCGGGATAGCGAGCCATGGGAATGCAGGAATGGAGGGGAAGCTGGACAGGACAGGGGAGAGGCCTCCAGGACCCAGTTTGGCCCCTCGGCACGGCTTGCGGGCCCGGGGCTCTGACGGCTGCGTTGTGCATTGCTCCAGGTGGGCGACCAGATGAAACTGCTGCAGAACTGCTGGAGCGAGCTGCTGGTGTTCGACCACATCTACAGGCAGGTGCAGCACGGCAAGGAGCACAGCCTGCTGCTCGTCACCGGCCAGGAGGTAACAGCGTGCCGGGAAATGCCCCCTGCCCTGCTCCCCACAGCCCCTGGGCGCTCCTGCGGCTAGTCCTGTCGCGCCTGGGGACTGCCCAGACCTGGGGGACGTGGGGCCAGCCCCATCCCAGCGTGTCTCGCAGTCGTCTGACTGCCAGCTTGCTGCCAGGTTTGCAGATGCTCTTTTGCTCTGATTTTTTTCTTGCTTTCATATTTTTGGAAGCTGATGGAGATCAGGGCTGCCACTTCCTGCCGTGCTAGTGGGATCCGGTCCCCTGCTTTCCCTGTATAGCACCCACTTCTGCCACGGTCAGACCCTGGGCTAGATGGGCCGCTGGTCTGACCCAGCACGGCACTGCTTCTGCCCTCCTGTTCTCCTCCCCTGGCTAGAAAGCCCCGTCTTGGATCACAGGAGGCCAGGTTTGCCCGCAGGCTACTGGCCTGCAATGAAACGTTTCCCATCCCCTGACGTCTCTGAGCACCGGTGTCAGGACGACGGTAGCACAGCCCTGCCTTGCATTTTACAGCCGGGAGCAGGGGCCCGGAGGCTGAGGGGCTGGTGTCCACACTAGGAACCAAACCCAGGGCTGGTAGGCGAGTCCAAGCCCCAGACCTGTCCCACGCCGGGCTCTCTGCGAGGGTGCTGGGGGCACGAGCAGCCCCTTGGCTTCTCGGGGTGCCAGTCCAGGCTGTGACACCGTGGGCACGTCTGAGCTGAGCTCTGCAGGAAAGGAGCCTTTATGGACCCAGCTGCAGCCCCTGGTCCCAGACACATCCCCGCTCCCAGCTGCGAGCCTGCCTCGCTCGGAGAAAACGGGTGACTTTTGTCTTACTTCTGCCGAGAGCCCCTCCCTCCCGCTGCCCCTCCTTCCCGCCTCCTCCGGATCGGGGCTGACCCGGGCAGGGGACCGCGGCGTTGTTTTTGCTGGGTCCCGGATTGTTTATGCAGCGAGGCAGAAACAACGGCTTGCAGATAGACCCAAACTGTCCGCAAGGCCCCGGCAGCCGGGGAGGGTTCCTGGGTTTGCAGCGAGATGTTTCTCAGCAGAAACATCAACAGCCGTGTCTGTATTTACAGAAGCCGGGTGTGAGAACCAGCCAGGCCTGCCCGGGGCGGAGATGCCACGGGCAGCGCCAGCGCACTGCCGCCTGCCCCCACCGTGGCACCTCCTGTTTGCAGCAACGATCGAAGCGTAGCGGGGGGCACCTCCTGTTTGCAGCAACGATCGAAGCGTAGCGGGGGGCGGCTCCCGGGTTCCCCACGGCGGGCGGAGGGGGCCGCTTGGGCTGGTGCACCTAGCTCCTCCGTTGTGCACCCCACGTTCGCCCAGCCCTCTGAGCAGACACCCCCGGGGCTGACTGGGGCTGCAATTGAAACCCCCTGAGAATCCAGCTGTAGCAATGGTGGGATCCGGCCCCCATTCCTCCGGTGTCTGACGGATGTGGGGAGCACACCCCGAGCCTGGAGCAGGTCCACTCATTTGGGTGCCCTGCGTTGGCCCATGGGTGCTGCTGCAACCACTGAGCCCCGCTGCCTCCCTGTGCTCCCAGGTGGACCTGTCAACCGTGGCGGTGCAAGCGGGCTCCATCCTGAACAACCTGGTCCTGCGCGCCCAGGAGCTCGTCCTGCATATGCACTCCCTCCAGGTCGACCGGCAGGAGTTCGTCTGCCTCAAGTTCCTGATACTCTTCAGTCTCGGTGAGTGTCTCGGTGTGCGGGGCCGGATGGCGGGTGGGGGGCTGGACGGCACGGGCTTGCCCCGGGCTCCCGGCGGTGGGTGGAGAGCCAGCGACCTTCCTCTCTCCAGCCACGCTCGCTAGGGCTGCCGGGAGCCGAAGCGCCAGCATTCACCGGGCAAAATGCTTTGTAAAGGGAAAAAAAGATTTGTCACTTCATAAGGAACAAGGAGAAATATGGGCTCCTCTCTGTGGCGGGGCAGCACCTCTGCTTCGGGGGGCTCCGGGCAGGGTTCGGGCCCCCAGGTCCCACGGGGCTTGATGGCGCGAGACCCTGTGGCTATGGATGACCCGTGTCCTGAAACACGGGACTCCCGGCTCCGGCTCATGGGTGGGGGCAGCAGCGAGACCCCACGGGGGAGCAGGGCTGCGGCGTGGGAGTAGCCGTGTCCATGCACGCCACGGGGGGATGCCTCGTGCCCCCGAGCCGGCACCGGCACCGGCAGGGGAGCATTGGCATGGGGCGATGGCGTCACCGGGGAAGTGCCACATGGCCGAGGGAGCAGGCGAGATCCCACCTGGTGCCGAGCGGCCGGAGGGCTATTTTGGTAACGAGGCTGTTGCCCGGGGCAGCGGAACGAGCCGGCTGATAGGGCTCTGCAAAACACCCGTGTTGACAATCCCCGAGGAGGCGCGGGCCCTATCTGGCTGCATTTGCGTCAGAGCCAGGACGGGCAGCCCGGGCATCCATCTCATGCCCGGTGCCCGCCCCGCGGTCTGCGGTCCGGCAGCGCGGCCCGACCCGCGCAGTCGCTCCTCGCCTAGACACAATATCCGTGGCGGCGGGGAGGGGGGCTGTCCCCACGAGTCCCGGGCTCGCTCGTGCAGCCCGGGTGGTTACCATAGCAATGCGCGTGGACGGGAGCCGGCGCGGGCAGCCGGCGCCGTGGCGGCCCGGCTGAGCAGCTGCTATTGATCTGGGAAGTTTCTTTTTGCAGGTGTCTAATTATCGCCTTGCCACGGGCCCATCACGAGGCGCAGGGAGCGGGCAGGGGCCGGGGCCGCGCTGCCTTCCCCCCGCCGGGACCCGCTCGGTTGGGGGGGTCGAGGCTTTTATGTTCCCGAAGCCACGTTGGGGTCGGCGAGAGGGGGCCGGTCTGGACCTCCGCGTGGCTGGCGCTCCTCTGTGTGTGGGGCACCACTGGGCACCGTCAAGGGCTCTTGGAGAGCCAGCATCGTCTGCGTGGCTTGGGGCTCCTTGCCGCCTTCCTCCCGCTCATTCCCTCCAGCCCAGGACTTCTCCCCACTCCTTTCTCATCCCCTCCATCTCTTTCTCCTTCCTCCTTGCACCCTGGCCTGTCTTCCCCCTTCCTTGAGCAGCCCGCACCTGGCCGTGTCCGTGCCTCGGGGCCTCCACGTCACGTTTCCTTTGCTGCGTGGGCCCCGCCTTGGGGCTCCTTGCCGCCTTCCTCCCGCTCATTCCCTCCAGCCCAGGACTTCTCCCCACTCCTTTCTCATCCCCTCCATCTCTTTCTCCTTCCTCCTTGCACCCTGGCCTGTCTTCCCCCTTCCTTGAGCAGCCCGCACCTGGCCGTGTCCGTGCCTCGGGGCCTCCACGTCACGTTTCCTTTGCTGCGTGGGCCCCGCGCGTGATGTTGGATGGCCCCGGCGGGCCCCTGGGTGCCCGCCGGAGGGTCTCATGGTGCTCGCTTACGCTGGGACCTCCTGTTGTCACCTGCCCCATCAGGTAAATCAGCATCTTAATGCAAGAGCTGCTGATGGAGAGAGAGCGCACAGGTCTCACGTTGGCCCACGAGGCTGTAGTCCTTCCCCTCTAGGCCTGCGGTGCCTTGTGTGGCCTCCTGGGATATGCGAGGGCCTTCGGGGACAGGTGTGTTTGGGGGGAAAGAAAGGAATGAGTGAAAACTAAGATTTGTAAGAGTCTTGCGGTTTCGTGTCCCAAGGGGCTGATTTTCTAGGGAACCGGGGCTTGCACTTTGTGGACATCCAGCCCCTCTGTGGGTCCCAGATTGTCACCCCAGACTTGACCGGCCATTGCGTCCATCAAAGCCTCTTCTCTTTGCAGAGGTCGACCTGGGCCCCTGCCCCCAGGGCACTCTTGGTGTCCAGCCAGAGGCAGCTTTATAGTGCAGTCGGATCCCGGGTGTATTCATCATATCCTAATTGTCTTCCGGCAGCGTCAGGGGCCCTGGCCGTGTGCCAGGATCCCAGGGATGGTTAGGAGCTGCCCACCTGAGCAGGCCACTTGCCTGCCGGAGACGGCGAAGGCAGGGCCCTCCGGTCTGGAGGGAGGGGACGGCTCTTAGAAACGCTCTGCAGGTTTGACTCGCTCGGTCCCAAACGGCCCGCAGCGCTCCGAGGGGGAGTCCGCGTCCTCCCTCGAATGACGGGGAACCAGCCAGGGCTTGAACACACACCTGGGGGCACCTTGCATCACGTGTGATGTCCGGGGCTTGCCGGCCTCCCTGGCTCTTCCTGGCAGCTCACGTGCAGGCTTCCCCACGGCTTGCACCGTGCGAGCGCTGGGGCTTGCAGGGCCCGTCCTCGGGGCCTGCCGGGCTGCATCTAGGCGGAGGCGTTCGGCGGTACGACTGTTTATAGCGTCTTGTTGTGCCCTGATGGATTCTCCAAATCGCTCGTGAAACCTTTAATGTCCCTGTGTGAAGCAGTCTGACCACAGCGGAGGTGGGGGCCAGGCTGAGCGTTTTCAGAGAAACCCAAGAGACTTAGGCACTCGACTCCAGGGATGTTTTCTAGCTCTCTGAGGCCCCTTGTGCAGCCACAGTCACAGCCACGGCTGGTGGACTAGTAATTAGTTGTTTTCCGTGGGATATTTTTTACAGAGGTGAGCTTGGCAGGGCTGTTTGGCAGGCCAAGGCTTTTCCAGCGTGGCTGATGAGCATTTGCTCTCTTCTCTCCTCTCTCTGCACGTGTGAAGCGCCGACGGTCAGGTACGCTGCGTACGTACCACGTGCCGTCACCGGGTGGACGTGGCAGCCCCTGCAAGGCGGTGAGAAGGAGCTGGCCCTGGCACAGAGAGCCCATACCAAACCTTCCCCAGCCGTTGTTTCCTCTTTCAAAAAAAGCTGCTTTAAAGTCCAAGGAAATTAAATAAGATAATCTGCTGGTTAAACAGTGATAAGGCTGAGGCACAAACAGTGCCCGGCTTGCAAAATAGGAGGGCGGGTGGCTGGGGGTGGTAGAGCCACTGCCAGTTTGGGGGAAGAGAGGCGGGAGGTGGTGGCATTTCGGCTCTGCTATTCATAGCCCCTCTGCGGCGAGGTCCCCACGGCGCGTGGATGCCCTTCGCTGCACGGGCATTCCCACCGAAACCCCTGTCGGCAAAGCGCGGGAGCCGCCCGGAGCTGGCCGCACGTTCAAATCTCGCCTCCGTGGCATTTTTGGAGCGGCAGGGAGGGGCAGGAGATGGGCTGCACATCCCCGCCTGTCACTCTTCCCCAGCCCGCCCGAGCGTCTCCGTAATGCAGAGCCCCTTGGAATAATTTGCCCTTCGCAGGCTCAGCTGTAGAGGACGGGACTGCGTATTATGTGTGGGATGTAATTGCCTTTAACAAGAGAATTTCCACATTTACCACTCTGCCACAGCACAATCAAAGCCAAGCCATGCACACAAGAGCCTGCCATTTGAGTTCTAAATAGATTTCTCTCCTGAGCAGGTAAAGAGGTTTAATTAAAATTAGGACTTCTCAAAATAGCAATATTTATGAGGATGGCACAGGTTAGCTTTGTTCTACAGAAGGGCTTAATAGAGCCTTAATGGATTGACCTATCATTCGATTTCATGACTTACATTCATGAAGCAGCTACTCTTGGGGAGGGGAGGAAGAGAGGCTTTTATAGCCCACATTCCCTTAAGCGTTTGCAATTTATCAGCAGCTTCTCCCAAACAAAAGGAGCTGTGAATAGGAAGAACACTTGAGGGCATAGAAATAATCCCAGGCATATCTGTATGTGTGATGGGCTGCTTTGTCACAGGACAGAGTCTTTGCAACTGCTGCAGTGTCTCTAAATGAAGTGAGTCAATGTTATTTGGACAACATTCTTTATTCTTTGCAGGAATGAAAAGATTATTCAAATATTCAATTAAACCGTGAATAGGGTCTTTCTGAGAACCAGGTGAGTTCATCAAGTAGAACTAGCTATTGTTGAGCCAACTCAGGGTGTAGGTTTGACATTTATCAATATAACTTCATTTTTTATGACATTCACAATAACCTTATGCAGATAAAGAGATTTCATAACAACGAGCTCGCGCAGAGCAGAGACAGCCACGCTCAGAGCAGATGTGCCGCGGGAGGGGAAGGACAGGTTGGATCGGGTACGGCGCGTGCACACCAGCTGCTGTGAGCCGTCCAGCTCGGAGGTGGGAAAAGGCCCGGCGAGTCATGCTGTTGCCCAGCCCTGCGCCGGCCCATCGGTGCTCCCTGTGCCAAGCTCTCCCGGGCTTTGTGCAGAGGCGTTGGGTGATGGGGCTCGCACCGCTCCCTGGCAGGGTTTTTGCAAACATCTAGTTGGTCTAATAAAAGAGATCACCTCTGCCCCTAGTTTGGATTCCCTCGCAGGGACCCAGCGAGCACCAGGCTTCCCTGCTCGCACTCGTGCCTGTGCTAAGCAGGCAGCAACGTGAATGGCGTGGCAACACCTGCTTCGCCGAGCCGGGACTCGGGCTGATTGGCGCGCCAGTCCGGTTCCCCCTCTTAGACGGGGAGTAGGTGCCGGTTGAAGCCAAGTCCGTCTGAGCAGGCCCTGGGCGCCCGGCTGGAGCGAGGCAGGGCGGTTGTGGGCAGTCCCTCACCTGGTTTTCCTCCCAGGTGACAGCCCCATGGCGGGTGCTTTGCTACGGTCCAGGGGCACTGCCTGCTGCCCTCCACCTTTCCTCCGCAGACCGTCCAGGCCACGCGCCTGACTCAAATAGCATTGACACAGAGCCCCGCGGACACGCTCTGCCTGATTCAGCCCGGCCCCGGAGTCACGCCGTCCAGTGACTCAGGCCCGCGGCTCCGGGAACGTGCGCATCCCCCGCGCAGGCTGCCGGGTGTCTGTTTGGGTTGGTCAGGTACTCTCTGACCTGCCTCTTATCATCCGGGCTCCACCGCCTCTTCCAAACCTCGCTTTGCTCGGCTTGCTCGAGGGTCCGGGAAGGAGCTTGGCGGACTGTGCATTTCACCACCGCCTCCTCGCTGTCTCTGCTCTCGAGGCCTCGTCACCGCTGCTTTTCTTTCTGACCTGTGCTTAGGAAGCTGTAATGCATCTGGATGGAGCAAAAACTCCTGATCTTCCATCGTTGTAAGGTCATCTGTAGTCTTTGGGGCAAATCTGCCCCCTCCCTGCCCCACTGCAGTGAGCACAGTTATCCTCGGGTGGGATTTGTGCCCGTCTTGCATGGTGTCTCCTTGCTCGGTTTCTTGCCCCGGATGATTTCCGTGAGCAATCCCCTTTCGCACGGAGGTGTGAGCTCTGCAGAGGAGCCTGTCCTCTTCCAGGGACCCCTCGAGCCTTTACGTTTTATCACGGGCAGAGCTATCACCTGTTGGCCCAAGCCCTTCAAACCACCGCGCTCAAAGCTCAGGCCCAACTCCGACTCTTCCCAGGGCTCAGATTTGATGACTTTGAGCTGAAATCTCTGACCTGAACTGGGACCCAGAGGGAGGGGTTTGGTGCAGCCGGCGGCTACGTGCGCGCACAGACAACAGCTTTGTTATCAGGCAAAATGGCGATTGTTGCTGCAACTCTATCTAGTACAGTAAATCTGCTAAAGCCGGTAGCCCCAAATGTTTTCGGCGAGGATGTTTAGAGCAAGGTCTCTTGGAAGTGGGGTCTGAGATACAATCCTTGCGGTGTTTACGTGGTATCCAAAAACAAGCAGGCATATATAGTGTCGCTTTACCGAAGCCACGGGAGCAAGGGGCTGGTTTGACCGTGTTACACGGCTCGAAAAGCTGGGATTTATTTAGCCAAAGGAAAATGGAAAATGTGAGTGTTGCTGGCTGGAAGGCACGGCGATAGCATCCTGCCACCTACTGGGAACTGCAAAGGCGTTCAAGAGCAGTGTGTAAAGGGCAGCAAGCAGGAGGTTGCATGGACACGCGCGTGAACTAAACCGTCCTGCACGCTGACCCGGGAGCTCAGTGCAGTCACGGGAATAAAGTGCCCTGTGTTGCTCTGTGCTCCTTCAGGGCTCTGACTTGGGATAACCCCCCGAGGGACCGGTGATACTGGGCGGTGGCCGTGCCCCTGGGTCTGCATCTTACCTGGAAGGTGGCTCTCCCACCGGGCACCCTGCACTGGCCCATGAGGCTTCGCAGGGGTGGAGATGGGAAGGAGAGGTCAGCACAGCTCGGCTTTTCAGGTCACAGCCCGGGCGGGAGAGCGCAGGGCAGGGAAGCCTGTGGCGGCTGAGACGTCCCTGCCCACTTGGCAATGGCTTGCTCCGCAGACGGGGCTGCCTGTGGCGTGTCCACTGCACCAAAGGGCTGGCTCTGATGGGGGCAAAGCAGAGCCGGTGGGTTGCTTTGTGCTCTCTGCTCTTGCATGCAGGGGATGCTTTGCTGGAGTCTTCCCTCGGTGGCTGCAGCATGGCCACGTCCATTCAAATCCTTGGGCAGAGTTTAGGGCTAGACTCAGTGCTCCTGCTGCAGGATGCATCCCTCCCGGGAGCTGGGGCTCTGCCAGGTCCAGGCAATGGCAGGACACGGGGGCATTGTTTAGACCCTGGCGCTGTGCGGAGGATTGGGGTTGCCACATCTGCTGAGCTCTGTTCCTACATCGGGAACCTGCGGTGCATGGGGCAGTTAAGCCCTCCTAGACGTTCAGACGTCGGCGGGATCTGGCGTGTCTGAGCTGTTAGAAGCGCGCCAGTTCTCAGCTCTGCAAGCCTCCCGACGAGGCAGCTGCTCTGCTCTGCTCCCCCGACTCTGGCTGTACCCAGACGACCCCCGTGCCCTGGTGGAAATCCCCACCACCCAGGCTCAAGACCCATTATTTCCATTGCAATGGCATCTCGGGGAAGTACAGGGAGGTCCTTCTATCCTGGGCATGAAACCAGGTCATAAGTCAGGGCTGCCTGTAGGAGGGAACAGGGATTTCCTTGCTGGGGGCACGCTGAGGCCGTTTGGCCAGGCAAGGTCAGGCGTGCATGCGTCCCGCAGCCGCTGCTCAATACCTGCTAGCAAAGTCCCCAGGCAGGCAGCGCAGGGACGTCTCTGGGTTCGTCTGGGTATGTCGCTGCTCGGGCTCCCTCCAGCAGTGACCGGGCCCTGTGTTCCCGTTGCAGATGTGAAATACCTGGAGAACCACAGCCTGGCCAAGGACGCGCAGGAGAAGGCCAACGCGGCGCTGCTGGAGTACACGGTGTGCCACTACCCGCACGCCACGGACAAGTTCCGGCAGCTCCTGCTGCGGCTGGCCGAGATCCGGGCCCTGAGCATGCAGGCCGAGGAGTACCTGTACCACAAGCACCTGAGCGGGGAGGTGCCCTGCAACAACCTCCTCATCGAAATGCTCCACGCCAAGCGGACTTGAGCGCGGCCTCCAGGCGACAGACTGCAGCGGTGGCGCCCGCTGCGGGCACCGAGGGCTGGCCGGCCCCGTGCCCCAGCTTTGCTATTGAAACTGGACTCTTGGGAAGTTTCAGAGGATTTATTTTAATATACAGGAACTCTGGTTTCACAGCTCTGCCACCGCCCTGTCCTGTCCTGTGCGGGCTGACCCGCCGAAGACCTGCCTCTCACCTGGCAGCAAGCTCCCCTCCCAGCCACTGGCTTCGCCCGCAGCGGGGAAGGGCTGGGGGCGCCCTTAGCTATGGCTTGTCTCTTATTTATGTTCCTTTCAAGCTGCCTTTTCTTAGGAGGGACCTGCCCCCAGCCCCTCTGCCTGCTAATGTGAAGCGTCTTGGGGATGCCTCCTCCCGTGGCAAGGGGAAGGGCTCCGTGGCCAGCTTGCCTCCTCAGAGACGGCACTCGGCTCTGCTCGGTGGGGTGGAGCATTTGGGGAGCAAGAAGTCAGGGCTGGGGGTCAGCAGCAGGAGGGCGATGGAGGCAAAGGGTGCTATGCGGGGAGCTGGCCACCCAGCACGAGCATCCTGCTCCTGCCCTCTGTTTGGGAGGGAGCAGACAGCCAGGCTCGCCTCCGCCGGGGGGGTCTGCACTGCAGCTGTCCCCCTCCGCCGGGGCGACCCTGCCCTGCCACCACGGTGCCACGGCAGTGTGGCTGTGCAAGCCTGCCAGCCCACGGGTCCAGCTGGGGGGTGGGCAGGTCTTGCCGCAGAGTAAAGGGGAAAAGGCTGGAGGTGAGGAGGGGTGAGCGAGCAACGGGACGACAGATGGGGCAGTGCCAGCAGTCGGCCAACAGCCAGCGTTAGATAACACACGGGCTCTGCCTCCGGGCACGCTTGGCCTGGTGTGCCAGAGTGGGGGTGCTCTCCTCCCCAAGGAGCTGATCCTGCTTGGGTAGCGCGCCGTGATGCCAGGGTGGCACCTCGGAGCTGCTACCACCCCCAGTGCCGATCCCCGTGGGTCTGTGTGGGCCCCAGGGAGCAAAGCCTTTGGGGAGGGGATGCTCCAGCAGCGCGGGTCTCCCCTTAACCCATGCCTTGAATTTCCGTGCAGGGTGCCCGGCTCCTGGGAGGGAGAAGCACTAGGAACCAGACCGGGAGCAGGAGGTACCCTGCAGAGGCCGTCTGTCCTCACCACGTGTACCAACAGGCTGGCAGCCTGGTGGCACTGCCCCGGGGACGGAGCGGCAATTACCCTCGGCGGCACTGTCCTACCTGACCCACTGCGGGACCGGGTTGAGCAGCCCCCGGTCCAGCCTCTCCCCCGTGCGCCGGGCTCTGCAGAGCACACGGAAACTCCCCGAGGCACAAGCGAAGAAGGCGCTCGCTCTCCCCTGTGACGTCCGCGCGGGCGCCGGATCTGGGGGTCCAGACCTCCCCTGGCAGACATGCCCCGGGGCTGCTGGAGGGCTGGCCGGCCAGTGCATCCCTGCTCCCCCGGCTAAGACGGAGCAGTCGGCAGCTGTTAGCACCTCCGTGACCGAGCGCGCACCCCTTTGGGGCCAGGCCGCAGGAAGCCCGGATGCTTTTGGCCCCTGGTGCACGAGCCGCCTCTGTGCTCACCAGCGCAGCCCTCCCACGCGGCGAGCGAGGCCGGCCGCGGACATCAGACAGCAGAGCCCCTCTGACCCGAGCACGGCTCCCTCCCTCCCGCCCGTGGCAGCCGCCCAAAGCGCTGCCTTCGGCCCGTCTCCCTTCCAGCACAGGTCCGTCTTCACGGCCGCCGCCACATGCTAGCGCGCCCGCAGCCCTTTCTCAATGCCTTCATGTTAGTGGTGAGTGATGGTCCCTTGTAACCGTTGGTTCCAGTATATCTCCCAACCCAGGCGCTCGCTTCTGGTCTAGGGAGGGCCGGCGGCGCGGTGCGCTCAGGAGCTGGCGCGGCCAGCACGCGCCTCCCTGCAGACCCGGCGGCTAGAAGCAGCTCCTGTCCCGGCCGCTTGTTAGATGCAGAAGAGCATGTTTGTTTCTGCCTTTCAGCCTGTTAGTGCATGTCCCACTCCCGGTCCGTGGTTCGGTTTCACTTCGTGCTTTGTGCAGTTCAAGAGCTGGGATCTGGTTCGGGCGTGAAAAGCTGTTTTATTTTTCAGACAATGAGAAGTGTCCTTAAGTGTCTCTCTCCCTCCTGCGCTCCGGCCGCTGACCCTCTCTGCCCCTGGCAGGAGCTGGCTGTTCCCTTCCTTGTCAGGATCAAACCACTGTAATAAATTTTGCAGTTCACTTCAGCCGAGCGGCTCGTCTGGCTTCTTTGTAAATACCCGATGAGCTGCCCGCAAGCGGGCGCCTGCTGCTCACACCCCCTCGGGCAGCACGGCCGCCCCCCCAAGCAGGGGAGGGCACGGACTGGCACAGAGCTGGGACCTGCCGTGGCGCAGGGCTGGCCGCCGTGCATCCTTACAGGGCGCCCAAAGGCATCGTCCAGCCCCGGTGACACGCGGCAGCCCTCTGGCCTGGATGGAGCCTCCCCAGCCCTGTGGCCGGATCCGTTCCCGTGCTTAATCCTCCTTGGCTGCGAGCGAGTTTTGTCACAGCCTCGTGTGTGCTGGGGACTTGTGCTCAAACACGCGCTCCCTTTGCTCTTCTCCAGCCTCAGCAGCCCCCGGTCTTTCGCCCTCCGGGTTGGACTCTCTCCAGCGTCTTTCCTAACGTCATGCACCGGGCGCTGGGGAGGTCTCGCCAGTCATGCCAGGCTCCAGCTCGCCCAGGGGGGAGGCCGGGTGCTAGCAAGGAAATCCCTCTTCCTCCCAAGTCGTAGAAAATGAGGGTGGGAAGGGAGCTCAGGAGGTCACATCCCTGCTCAGAGCAAAACCAGCCCCAACTACATCCTCCCAGCCAAGGCTTTGTGCAAAGATGGAGTCCTCTGAGCCTGCTCAGCCGAAACCCTGCAGAGGGCACGGGTTGGAAAGCCAGCCCATGGACCAGTCTGGTCTGTGGGGGGATGCTGGGGCACAGCCTGTCCCTGGCAATGGGGAGCAGGGGAGGCAGTCATGCAGACAAACCGCAACAGAGACCGGGGGCTTTAAAATCCACATTTATTCTGCCAGGAGACGCAGCAGTCCGGTACATACAGGCTGCGGGCACTACGCCTAGGAGGACAACAGGAGACACAGTCTGGGGCAGAGAGGACAGGCCAGCACGGCCCGTTTGTCAGAGCGGCGCCATGCGAGGCGGCCGGCGGCACCAAGCCAGCAGCCGTGTGCCCAGCCCGCAGCGCCCTGGGCCCTGTTCTGCAAGGGGGGACGTGGCACAGGTGCAACCTCCTCTGTCCATGCCAGGGAGCTGGCCTGCTGCCCCATGCTGACACCAGGCTGGGGCATCACCGGCATCACCGTGGCCAGGGGCTGTGGGGGGGTGGCAGGGACCACGGGTCCTTTCCCAGGCAGGGCTTCTGCTGGCTGCCCCCTGCTCCTCTTGCCTTCGCTCGGCGGTCCCCTGCGCGTGGCCAGCCCCGAAGGGCACAGCAAGGCAGGACCGCAGAGGATGGCCTTCCTCTGGGAGCCAGCACGTTGCAGTGGGGCGGCCACTCGGGAGAAGGCAAGGAGGCTTTGCTGCCTCGGGGAAGCTAGGGGAGGAAGCTGGGGGGTCGGGGGCGCTCACAGGGCCCAGGACTAAAATGTCCTGTCAGCGAGAGGTGCTGGGAAGGGCACGGGAGCAGCTGGGCACCAAGTGAGGAATGGGCTAAAAAGCCCTCCCTTTGCACCTGGGAAAACAGCAGGGTCCTCCCCCAGGGTGTGGGGGGCCGAAGATGTGCCTCCCCCACTGCCCAGGGGCCGCAGCACAGCGTGGAGACCGCTGAAAGCGGGGTGGGGGTGCTTGTCCCGTGGCCAGGCTGTCTCCATGTGCTCTCGCCCCGGTGCTGCCTGGAGGAGAAGCCCCTGCCCTTTACCCGAGGGACACCCCCGGGTGCCGGGAAAGCTTGGGGCATGTGACCCACCAGCACGGGACTGCCCCCCACCCCCTCGCAGTGCCAGACCAGCCCCCACCCCCAGGCCTGCCTGTCTGTCCGCTGCACACACTGGAAGGAAGTGGCGCACGTTGGTCAGCGTTGCACAGCATCCGCAGGGCACGGCGTGAAGCCAGGAGCCGCGTGGCCACGGCCCGCTGTCCTGCCTTCTGCCTGCAGAGCGCTGGGGTCCGGGGCAGGGTCAGGGAGGGGTGGGGGGGTCCCCTGTGTGCACGCCTCAGAAACCTGTCACAGGAGAGAGAAAGACATGCCTTAGCCAGGCTCCGGGCAATGGGGGAGTGCACCCTGTGTGTGCACCCCATGCACGCACCTCCCTTTGCCCGGTCTGGAGCGGGGGTGTGGGCAGCCCGCGTGCAGGGGACAGGCTGCTGCGCACCGGGGAGTGGGGCATGAGGTTAAAGCATTAGGGTGAAAGCACCGTTAAGGTTAAGGGCGGAGGGGCTGGCTGGCTCAAGGGGGTGGGTAGCCAAGACCACTTGGTTCTTCTACCCTGCAGCAAACAACAAGCCTAGGGCTGGGCGTGCAGCAGGGGCCAAGGAGAATTAGGCACTTGATGCACATCATCATGCTCTAGCACAGAGCCGACTGCACAAGCTGCTCCCCCCATGGCCAGGGCCCCGGTGCGAGGGTCCTTGCTGGCCTCGCTAAAGCCGGTGCCAAGGAGAGCAGGGACCGGGTAGCTGAGCCCCCCGACAGCCGTGATGCTGCAGCCACGGCTCCATCCGTGCACAGCCGTCCCGGCCGGGGCCGGCCACCCGGGCAGCAGAGCGGGGCCCCGTGAGCTCCTGCTACTGCAGATTATTAAATTACGATTTTAAAAAGTGGCCATTTGACGCCTCGTGGTGATCATCTGGAGTGGCTTAATATTGATCACAGAAGGACCGGGCCCTGGAGACGAGAAGATCCATGTTGCTATGTGCGGCTTAGCAACATACGAAATGTATTCAAAGGGAATAATGAAATTATCACAGGGAAACAATGCAGCCATCACTTGACGAGATGGAGGCTGCGGAGCCCTCTTGTTCGCCAAGACAAGAAAGCCCGTGCTCATTGTCTGCACAAACATGCGCACCCCTGGCCGTGCCCTCCTCCATAGAGGGGTGTTATGAAGCTGTGCCGCGCGTTCTGCGTCATGTGCCGCTTTGTACAGCTGGGCAGGAGCTCATTACGGGGGAAGCGCGCGGCCTCTCAGCGTAAATTGAGCCCTTAGCAGGGGAAAGTCTGTTGTGAGGACCCTCAATCTTGTGGGGGTGGAAGCATGGGGGAGGGAAAGCACCTGGCCGCTCCGGCACATCAGGAGATATCGCCTGAGCCCGGCGCAGGGTGGGACCCGGCCTGGGTTAAGGGTGCGAACGCTTGTCTTGGAGACCTGCAATGCACTGGAAAGACAGCCCCAGTGCCAGCAGGAGCCGGCTCGGGAGATGCAGCTGTCACTAGGCCCCTATACCCATCGCTGCCATCCGAGCCGTGCTGCGAGCAAAGACTGCGGCAAAGGTTTCCAACCCCGCAGGGTTAGTTTTTCCTATGGGACCAGCTCCCACAGCAAGCCCCAGGGCTGGGGCGGTGCACAGGGGTCATTTGTGACCATCTTTCGGGTGTGCCAGAGCAGGAGCCGGCCCTGGGAAAGAGCTACGAGGCCGAGGGTGGCAGGGCTGGGTGCTCCCGCGGGGGGGCTTTGCTACACGAGCGCGTGCACATTGAGCCCTGCACGGTGCCAGTGCGACTCCACTCAGCGAGACCGCCACAACCCAGCCCAAACAGGAAGGAAAAGGCTGTAGCGAGAGAGTTACCTGAGCATTTGAACGCTGTCAGCTCTACCGCCTGCAAAAGGGGAGAACATGGGTTAAGTACCATGAAGCCACAGCCCCGTCCCCCCCGGCCGCCGCAGGGCTTGTGCCCCCCGCCCTGCAGCTTGCTGTGGTCTCTCCCCTCGGGACCCGGCAGCAGACGGTGCTAGACCATCCCCAGCACCCTCCCGGGGCTGCCTGCAGAAGCCAGCCTAGCACCCGGCACTACGGGACATCCCCCACCCGCCCTTCCACAAAGGCTTGATCTCACCAACAGAGACCAAAAGCCTTGAGCAGTGGCCGGAGGGACCAACCAGCCCAGAGGAGACACCGAAAGCAGCTCGCACAGCCGCCGAGGGTCTCCGAAGGGCTTGGCTGCCTGTGCACACGTTCCTCGGAGGGCAACCCCATCTGCTCTAGATTGCACTGCTCCGACAGCTTAGCACGAGGGACCGTTCGGAAAAATTGGGCTCCCCCCACTCGCCATCGTGCCTCGTGCCAGAGAGTGGTGACAACCACTGTTCAACGGCACCGGGGAAGTTCAGGGCTTGGAAACCCCGGGGAAGAGGGGCTCGGAGCCAGGGCGGAGGCGGCCGGCAGGGCTGACAGCGCTTTCTTGACCACAATGAACTGCTGAACA